CAAAGGGACATAGTGGGCAAACAATTGAGGCTCTGAAGAGTGCGGAGGAGTGTGTCAAGCCAAGTTAAGTGTCTCCTTTTGGCCTCCTTTTCGCTTTTGGCTCATGTGCTCTCCAGTGGGTGTGACAAGTACTAGTTGGCTTCATTTCAAAAAGCCATTCGGCCAAAGTTAAGGAATGTTTTAGTGGAGCAAGTCAAGTGTTACCTCCGCAAGAATGTATTGACATCAATTTGATTTTAAACAAGTCAAAGCCAATAAGTGTAAAATGAAAAGGCTCAAATTGCAATCGCAAATACACATGGACATCAGTCTGGACAATTTGTGCACTTCAATTGTTTTATATACTGGCATCGATTGCCAGTTATCTATTTCAAAATAAATCCAATTTGTACGAAAACACTCCAACATTCCCATGAGCTTAGAGATCCGTGTAAGTGCACTATAATAGCATTTCATATGCCTGTGCATAAAGTTATTTGTTTACCGACGAGTGCACAATATCCATATACAAAGCCAATATTGCACCGCTCAGCAATATTATTTCAAACTATTTCAAATGCTCAACAGTGGGTAATGCAATTCCTCAATGACTCTCGGCAATGTATCCTCTGGCTATCCAAATGTGTGTGGATTTATTTATTGTGTTTGGAAACTTTTTAACACAATCCCATTGTAAGTTGATGCTCGCCACCCTTCATGTGCCTCGAAAAGTTCTTCATACTGATGACTACATCAGGGATTTTACTACCCATAATGATTGTTCTATCCCTGAACTTTCAACAAAAGATGCGAAACTCTTTTATCTCCAAAATCCTGCTCAGATAATCGCTGGTAATAATTCATAACCATAAAATATCAATTTCTCGTCTCCATTTTTTTTTTTTTGGTTTTTTGCGCATAAATTTAAACCTTAAACAGCTGCCGCGAACGAGGGAAGGTCCTGGGACTTTGTCGTAGTGACATCACCAGGAGCTGGAGCAGCATCCTGACTGCCTGACTGGCAGACAAGTGTATCGAGGACAAGTGACAGTTATAACGGCAGCAGTTACAGCGCCAAAAACAACCAGCCCTTCAGTACATCATCGGTAGGTCTACTGTGCTCGTATGTGTGTCTGCGTCGAGATGTTGAGATGTCGAGAGGAAGGAACAGCTGCAGGGAAGCATATGCCCCGACAATAAAAATGTACGGCTGATTGAAGTTTGGAAGATTGTGATTTTTCACTGGCGCAAAGCCACGGTACATTCGCAACCCCTTCAAAAAAATAAAACTGAGTGGTTATTTTGCTCTGAATTATTCATAAAGCGAAATCATCTTAAAGTATTACTCGACCTACTGAGGGTAGTAGTAAGCACAGATTTCCCAAACTAAAATTTAGATTTTCGATGAGGATATGCTTGATAGAATCTACTATTCAAATTCAAGATCACGGAAATCTTTGACTACAAGCTCTAGACAAATTACCTTAGTCTTAATTGAATTACCGGAAAGTTGTTTAATTGTTTTTGGCATAAGTTACAATATCTTAAATTATTGAAAAGTTGGAATTTCCTTAAAATCTAAAATGTTTTTTACTATATGCAAAGACGAAAGATATTAAATTATTATCGAAAAACACAGAGGCAGCAGCTGAAAGACAGGTCTAGAAGGACGCCAGCCGTGACAGTTACAAAACATTTTACAAGCAATTCAACAGAAGCAACACAGAGACGAGAGCAGCAAGTAGTAACCAGAAAAGGGAATAGGATTGGGAATGGTTTTAGGTTTGGATATATATATATCTATATAAAGGACAAAACACCAGCTCCCAAGCAGAGTCAACGATAAAGTTGTCATAGTGTGAAGCGAACAATTCATCAGCGTCAATGTGATAAATTGTACTTCCACCGCACCGAAATTGTTGGAAATTTTTATTCGAAACGCAGGCAGAGGGCCATTCGAAGAAGGAGGAGTAGTGATGGTACACAACATGCTGGCAAAGTAGAACAAGATAAATTAGCCGTTTCAATTGAAATATAAACAATGGCATGCTAACATTAAGCATACGCACAGTGAGCACCGCAATGTTGATGTTGGGAAACCGAAGAAGTGCGTAAATAATCTGGCGAAATGTAGTTTCTGTTGGTATTGTTAATTAGCAATTTTAAAGTTTAAACAATTTTAAGTTCTGTTGAGAATTCTTCTTTTAAATGTAAATTACAAAATTTTTTAAATTAATTTTCATTTATTACTCAGATTGAGGTCTTAATTTGATAACTTTTTGTGGGCACATACATACGTATAAAAACCACAGAGAAAAGCTATCATGATGACGACCACAAAAACCTAAATGAAGGTGAAAATAGTAAACAATAAAATCTGTTGACATATTTGTTTTTGTTTTAACTAAAAGTATTCGATTCTATAAGCTTGGCCTTTTGTATTTACAGCTTTTTACTTAGAAAATCACAAAAATAGTTTTCTTTAATAATTTGAAATACAACAGAAGATTAACTTATCTCTGTGTTACATGCCAACTTAAAATTATAGCTATGATGAAAGCAGGAAAAATAAATTACTGGTTTTAAGGTTCCTTGCTCCTTTTAATGCACTCATTTATAGTTCCTAGAAAACGCCTTTTAATAATTTAGTTTATGACTGGGCGGGGACCTAACCAGAGAGAATTCCATAGAAGCCTTTGAATAAGTTAGATATAATTAAGCTTCAGCTTGAAGGACAGCCACTATGAGTGGCAGACACATTCTGTCTGTGGGCTGCGGGCGATGTCTGAAGTCGCGTTTTGTGGCGCGTCCAACTAACTAACTAAATGGCTGGATGAGTATACAGCAGACTGATTGACTGACTGGCTGACTAACTGACTAGCTGACTGACGACCACACACACAGGCCCTGTGTCGCCAAGATGGAGGATTGGTGTGCCACCTTTTAGAAGAAACCACAATTTGAGTGACAGCTGTTGACTGCTGGATCGCTGACGACCGCATGCTGTTGTTAACGACTCGTTTTGACATATTGAATTAAAATGCAAAAGAGCCCGGCCAGGCTAAGGAAATTACAGTCACTCAAAATAGTGGATTTGTCTACAAATATAAATCGAATTTCCAGTGAATTTTCCATTTGCCTATCAACTTTTGCTCCTTCTCCTCAGTTATGTGTGTTAATAAATTTGTAAACGAGTATTTCGAAAGGGCTTGGAAAGATCATAAGCCTGCATAGAATTTAAATACAAATGGAAAAATTATTTCTGAGGCAATGGAAAAAACGCAAATGATGCTATTAAAATGCAAACGATTTTTTGTTGTGCATTTATCTGAGAATTTACACCAGTCGGGGAAGGAAACATAAACCATAAAAAATTTCTTACAATTTCTGTGCAAGATTGCAAGAGTGAAGGAGGGTTTGTGGGTTGTTTTTAAGGGAATATTTACACAAATCATAAGAAGGTGGAACTATCAACATTTTTAAATTTTATGTAGCTTAAATTTTAAACAAAAAATGTCCTACGGACTTAAAGCTAATAATATGATTTCTAGATCCTAGAAAATGTTTAGCTTGGAAAACTCATTAAAATTCGGTTTATATTATGCTTCTAAAATAAAATTTATGAAATGAAAGGACTACAGGCAGTTATAAACTCCTGTTCAGCTGGTGAATTGTTATTGCTTATGCAACGCTTTAAATTCTAATTAAATGCAGGAAAGTAAAATATTTTGTTTTAATTATAAACCTGCACGATTTTTTCCCATTTCATTCATGGCTTAGCCGTGTGCAGGCGAGGCAGACATTTCAGCAGCAACACCACACCACTTCCACGCCACATTTAATGGTCATTTGAGGTAATAAAACTATCCGGCTAATACACCCAGCCATTTGAGGTACTTTTTATTTAGTTTTCAAATTAATTGAATTGAGGTGGAAAAAAAGCAATGGCTTAAAAGTGTAGAAAAAAAGGGCGCAATCTGAAAATTAGTTGGGCAATGGCTATGGTCGTGCCATTTGAACATTCCAATAAAAGAAATTAATGTAGTTGAACTAAATGTAATTGCAATTAATTAACTAAAACTATTGTTAGGAAACTAAATAATAGTTAAGAGTGTGGAAATTAAAGCTAGAATTATTAGAAATGTAAATTAGGTAAAGCATAAATTAATGTCATTTCCACAATAAATTTGATAACCCATTTAACCAGCTTTGGTACAGAATAATAAAATATTTTTAGCCTTTTAAGAGCCTAAGAAATCGTTCTTGGGTTGAATGGCAACTAATAAATGGCAAAACCAACAATAAACTCAAGTCAAAAACACATAAAAGATACTTATGTTCCCAGGACAATTTATTCATGCGTTTTCATGGGGAAATAAGTGAGTGGATTTCGTTTTGATGTTGGGTAAATGCCGTCGAATCCTAAAACCCGAATGGCAATAAAAATGAAACTATGCGTTAATTGCAATTCCCAATTGACCACAAAACGAACACGAGCCACACAAAATTTCCAACATAAACTCAACCCGGGGGCTTTGACAAACGACTGTGGGTGGTTGGTTGGCTGTTGGCTGGTCGAGTGTGTGGTCCGTGGCATAAAGTAGCTAATTACCGTTAGTTATGTTGCCACCCACAAAAATCCGCAATTAATGTGACTCTCCTCCACTTCGGGGAAAAGTGTGTGTGGGTGTGTGTGTGCGTGTGTTTGGGTTGTGCGGTTAGAACGCCAGAAAATGTTCAGTTCTATTTGAAACAAAAGTTAAGCGAATGGCGCAAAAATGTATGCTATATTTTTATATTCTACCTTGGGCTACTGACATTGAATTTGAAAATACCTTCCTTTTAGTCCACCAGGTTAAATAGGCCATTCAGTTTGGTTAAAGCCTTTTCTTGCTAAAAAAAAATTCTCAGCTCTAATCTAAGAATCGTTCGAAAAATAAGAAGATTTGGCCATCTTATGAGAATTTTTGTCTGGCAGGCCAACCTCAAAAAGTCAAAATAAATAGTCAAATTTTTTAAGATATAATATTTTCTGAATCAAACACTAAATTCACGGGATCCCAAAGGCATTTTGGTTGGGTAATGAGCCGTAACCTTACATGTTGTCAAAAATATAGGCTACTACTATGGAAGGACCTGAAATTACAGTTTGGAAATGTTGCAGAATTCCTTATGATTATTTTATTTGCTGCCCTAATGCCGATCATCTTTACCCTTGGCACAATGTTGGCAAAATCAATGTTTCCCAAACGAAAAAGAAATGGAAAAAGTTTATGGACCGAGAAGTGTTACCACAAGAGTGTAAGTTGATGATTTTTAGCTTAAGATTAAGTAATCATTTCTGTAGAACTTAATTTTGTATAGCTTTGAGGAATTGTATTACTTTCCTTATAATGGGTTACTTGATCAATTGATTGCTCAACTCGCCAATGTCTCCGACATTTATATCTTCGAAAGTTATGACACTAGAACTGAATTATTTTTGAATTTGAAAAGAGATAAAAGTGCATTGGGGATTGCGTTTCCATATGATTGGTATAGTATAACGACTATGCCGGAGCACATCAATTTCACCTTATATATGCCATTATCTATAAAAAGCAGTAGTTTCAATTATTTTGAATCAGGTTTTCTATTAATGCAAGAGCGTTTATCGCAAATATTCATTGGCTTTAAGGACTCCCGACATAAGAATATGAGCACATTGCGGATGAAACATTTTCCTTATCCCAGATATACGCCAAATCCCTATTCGGAGTCTGCAAAGTACATGACCTACATGACTTTATTATCCTTCCTTCTGCCCTGCATGACAACGGTTAAGGTATGCTAAGATCAGCTTAAAATATTAATCAAAATTCCAATCTTATTTTGTTGTATTTTTTAAAGTACATTGTTGACGAAAAAGAAAACCAACAAAAGGCTATTTTGAAAACAATGGGTTTTAAGAACTGGATCCATTGGCTCGCGTGGTATACGAAATCTATGTTTATCATGTTGCTCTGCGTGGCAATTGTGATATTTATTTATTCTACTGGAACGGTGTATGAATTCAGTAACTTGGTTTGCTTGGTCGTCATATTTCTCGTCTATATTCACTCACTCGTATTCTTTATATTCCTGGTAAGCTCATTCTGCTTCGACAGCTTCTGGGCCGTCGTCTATGTCTTTTTGCTCTACGTAGCCACGACCATTCCCTTCGCTGTTGTGGGTACGGATAATTCTAGTATTGCCTGTCAAATCGCAGCCTGTTTCGGTCTAAACTCTGCTCTGTTCTATATTTTGGATTCCGTGGCCACAATGGAGATGCAGTCGGTGGGTGTTCAATGGTATACTATCGCTCATACGGCATCCGGTAGCCATAGGTTAAGCATCGCTGGCTACATGAGCATCATGTTCTTTATAAGCTGGATTGAACTATTGTTTTGCCTTTATATCGAAGAAGTGCGTGGTGTATTTGGAGTGCCCGAGTTATGGTACTATCCATTTCAGAAGAAATACTGGCTTCGTAAACGTGTTTTACAATCAATTTTTATACCGGAACCGCATTTGCCGGCTTCAGAAACACATCATAGGAAATCTCATTACTCAATGTCATCATCATTTTTTTATGATAATCGAAGCGAAACAAGTATTCAGGCAGGTGTAAGAAACAAAGTTGGCGTGGAGTTGATAAATCTTACCAAGATGATTGGACAACGCCAGATAGTGTCTAATTTAACCTTAAATCTGTACGAAAATGAGATCACTACCCTGCTGGGACAGCCAGGTTCTGGGAAGACCACCACCATACTTCTGCTTTGTGGTATCTTGAAACCCACTTACGGAACAGCTTTTATTAATGGCTTTCAAATTGCTAAACAAGCAAAACAAGCGAAAAGCTGTTTGGGCATCTGCCTGAAGCAGAGTGCCATTTTCAAGGGAATGAGCGTAAAGGATCACCTCTACTTTTTCAGTCGCATAAAGGGCTACGGAAAAGATGAAGCTGAACTGGAATCAGAAATTTACATTACCAACCTTAAGTTGGCTGAGTTCAGAAATATCGATGCCAAAAATCTTTCCGTTAGTAACCAGCGGTGTTTGTCACTGGCCTGTGCCCTTTGCGGTGGCTCCAAGGTTGTCCTCTGCGACGAACCAACCACCGGTTTGGACACAACTGCGCGTCATGATCTTTGGCGTTTGTTGCAAAAGGAGAAACAGGGTCGTACCATCTTGTTTACCACCCAACATATGGAGGAGAGCGAGATTATAGGCGACCGCATTGCTGTCATTAATGATGGAGAGCTACGAAGTTATGGCACTCTTGGCTTCCTTAAGTATATGCATAATACAAGTTACACACTCTCCTGCGAGATGACACAGAATGTCTCACATTGTGAGCTGACAGAGTTGATAACTAGATTTGTATCTTCAGCCAAACCTGTCGTGCGGGGACATGATGTCAACTACAAACTGCCAAGAGATGAGACTCACAAGTTTTCGGAAATGTTCCGGGAATTGGAGAGCAATAAAAAGATCCTGGGTGTCCGAAGTTTTGGCTTAACTGATTCCAGCCTGGAGGAGATCTTTATCGCTAAAGAAATTATACCACGCCTCAGGGGTGGTACTGTGCCAGAAGATAATGGTTAGTTTATATAAACAATTTCCAAATTTTTATCTAATTACAAAAATTCACCATTTGTTTTGCAGAAAAGGCTGATTTTTCAGTCCAAACTGACTCATCAAAATTGAAAGGTCAGAGACCAAAATATCAAGAGCAAGAGCCAGAACCGAAATCAATTATAAAAAAAGAAAATTCTGAGACATTACTTCCGCCTCCACCGAAGACAAGGACGCCAAAAATTGCACCACAGGAAGTATGGACGCCTGAGGAAAGAAAAAAACCAACCGTTTCGGCCCAATTTCGGGCCATGTTAATAAAAAAGGCTTTTTATACTGTCTCTAAATTACCCATATTTCTTATAATACTGATCATACCAATTATATTCATTATTATAGCCCTTATCTCTGATCCCTATAGTAAAGATCTGAGAGCCAATGACCTACAAACTGTATTACCACTGTCTTTGGAATATTATAACTATGAGGATATTATCATCTTACTTGATGTCGACAATAAGCTGGGTACAAAATATGCAGAAGCCTATAAGAAATTAATCAAAGCGCCTGCAACAATTCAAAAGGTCGATTCGGTTTTTTCCTATTTATTCAGAGCCACACCATTGATAAGGCGTGATATAAATCGTAAATATGTTTGTGGTGTTTCGTTTAAAGATTCCTCGGCTATCACAGTCTGGTATAATAGCAAAGCCTTTGCGCACTCGGCACCCATTGCTATGAATCTGGTTTATAATGCCCTAGGAAAGGTGAAGCTTGGAAATCATTTTGAAATTATTGTTAACAGAGGTCAACTAGATCATTTCACTGAGAGAAATAAGAACTCGATTAAAGTGAGGAAAAAAAGACAGGATGATCCGGATGATCCTGATTATTCCGATTATGAAGACTTTGAAACCCAACCAAATGATGATTATGTGCTTCTTCCTCAATTAATTACCCCTATTCCTGGCCATCCTCATGTTGAATCAGGTAATAATGACGTTAAACTTGCTCCTGAGATGTCCCTTGCAGAAGCATCCTCAACCTTCTTTAATGATAAGGCCGTTAGAAAGAGATTCCTTGGTTTGATTATATTAATAACCGCTTATATAGCTCTTGCACTAAGCATTTTTTCTTTGCTCGTAACGCAGGAGCGTGTCCACAAAATGAAAGTGTATCAGGAAATACAAGGATTGAAACCATTCTACTACTGGCTAACTCACTTTCTTTATGACTTAGCCGTTTTTTTCATATTTATGGTGGCTCTCACCTTTGCCATACTACGAGTCACATTTTGGCATCAATCTTTAATTATACTTATACTTTTTGGCGTTGCTTGCTTGCCATTCGTCTATCTATGTACTTTGATGTTCAGTAAGCCAGCTTCTGCTTTCGTTTGGATCTTTATAATTCTACTGATTACGGGTAAGTGATTACTACTTTGGCCACAACTCACACAAAACAATCAATATGAATACTTATAATGAAAACACATAAAATACGATCTCTCAACCTCCCAAGATCACCTGAAACTGAATAACATTGCTGATATAATGTATATTTAACTTTCTTTTTACCAGGTGGATTACTTTTTTCCATTTGGTTATCATTTAACGTGATGGTGGTGGGCGGTGTAAGGGCTATATTTGTGATTTTTCCCATGTACGTCGGAACATCTGGGCTACTCAAATGTATGTCAACGCCTGAGTATTGCAGTCGTGAGGTACTTCCACCGATCGATGATATTGATTGCTGGTTTGGAACTAACAATGTATTCTGCTCATGCAAACGTAAAGATGTGAAATATTATTAATACCACTTTTGATAATTCATTTACTACATTTTTCAGCGATCAATAATTGGGTTGAGCCCTGGCTCCTGCTGATCCATGGCTTTATTTGGTTCTTTTTTCTTTCTATTTCAGATTACAGCGTTGAAATTGTCAATTTTCTACATCCCAAAGAATCAAACAGAAACTATGAATTGTCCGATAAGCACAAAAAAGTGCTCGATGAAGAAAGAAGAGTGGGTCAAATTTCAAAGCTTGATTATGATGAATATCCTTTAATAGTAGATCAGATTTATAAGCAATTTTGTTGCAACCAAGCTGTCCAATTAGTATCATTCTTGGTGAAGCCGTATGTACTAAACTCAACCTAACTACCTGATATCCTATATAGCTTAAACTCGAATATCGATAGAGGCGAATGTTTTGGCCTTTTGGGACCCAAAGGATCTGGAAAGACATCTATTTATCGTATGATTGTGGGCGACACCAGTATGACAGGCGGTAATATCTACGTGAATGGAATAAGTGTGAGGGATAACAGGGTCGCCGCCAAAAAGATTATTGGCTACTGTTCGCAGAACGACACATTACACGATTTCCTAACCGGTCGTCAAGTGCTCACCATTTATTGCCTACTCCGTGGCGTTCCCAAAGAAGAGATCCGATTTTTCACCGAGCTGATTGCCACAAACTTCGCTTTCAGGGATCTACTTGACCAGAAAATCGAGACATATAGTGGCGGGACCAGGAGAAAACTTTGCCTGGCACTCGCTGTCTCTGAAGGGACGCTTATTTGTCTCGATGAGGCCAATAATAGTGTCGATTCAGATACTCGCAATTTTCTTTCACAAAAGTTGGGGCATGTTAACAATAGTGGAAGGGCAATAGTTGTGACTACCAATGACTTAGAAGAAGCGAGTGTCCTATGTACGAGGAGTCGGTGTGTTGTTCTCCGGCGAATTAAAATACCTTGGATCATTGCAACATGTGCGATCTGAAATTTCTAATATCATTGTACTTAAGGTTAAGATCAATTTAAAGTCGAATAAGTAAGTAATAAGATATTAAATATGGCTATTAATAGTTTATTACACTTTTTATAGCCAAAAGGAGGAAGTGAAAAGGTTCAGAGCTGACATGAAGGAACTTTTTCCATCGGCAACCTTAATGTAAGATTAAATTAATCTATAAACTAATCTAAATGGTTGTTTTACTTAAAGGGAATCAATTGAAAACAATCTTAGATATCACTTAAGTAACCAAGTCTTTAAATTGTCCAGCTTGTTTTATCAAATGGAACGAAAACGAAACGAAGATGCTCTTGAAGATTATTCCATATCTCAGGTTTCCTTAGACGAATTGTTCATGATACTAAATAATGAGGAAGAAAGAGCCGTCATCGATTTTAACTCTTCAAACTCCGATGACGAGGAGAATGTCGAATTTGAAATTAAAGTTACATCGCCGGAAAAACAAGAAAGGAAAAATATTAAAAAAGAAGCTAAGCTGAAAGAGAAGAGAAAAAAAGACAGGCAAAAACGAAAGGAACAAGCAAAGAATAAAAGACCAGCAACTACCTCAGAAAGTTCTGATAGTGATGAATTTATACCAGATAAAGGTAAAAACGCAAGGAAATAAAGGTTATAGCCAACGACCTGGTAAGACTCTATACTCGTATATTTCTCAAATCGTAGAAAAATTATATCATACTTCAACATCCATAGCCCTAAAACAACAGTGGGAAAAGTGGAGCAGTCGACCGTATTTGTATTCATTAAGGAATTTCCGCAAGTTTTCCCGCTTTTCTCTTTGCCAACACCCCTCCTTCGACCCAGCATTTTGAGTTTTTTCGGTGTGCCTGGCTGCGTTCCGAGGGCAATGGTTGATTAAAATGTCAAATGCCTTGCATATTTTAAATGCCATTGCGTCAACCCCAGAGGAAAATTCATCCGAAAATTCTGACTCAAGCTGAAAGCCACCCAAGGTCCATACAACGGGGCAATTAAGGATAAGAGGACCTCAGCTCAAAACCAAGGACGATTTCCAGAATAAGAATTGCGCACATTTAATGGCTTGCAGTCTTGGTGATTTCACGTCTTTAGAAATTACACATATGGTTGCTACATCGTTTTTGAAATTTAAACTTTAATCTTGATTTTTTTTTACCAATTTTCATGTCAGTCAACAGAGAAAACATCAATTAAAAACGTTTTTCATTATGTAAACAAGGTAAAATAAGGACAAAACTGTAAGAAAACGTTAATTAAATGCAAATATTTTTCAAACCTTAAACTTATACCTTTCAACCTCTAAATTTGTTGATCCCTTATTTAATATTATTTTACATTCGCCATAAGTTAAAGCCTTTGGATATTACCTGAAACGATAAAAAGAAAAACATTGAAGATAAATAAGATTAGTTGCATTGAAGGAGTGCATACTAAAATAGTTGATGCTAAACAAGAAACTTAAATTAAAGTCCAACTTTTGGCGAGCGCTTTGAAAAATGGCAACCGAAAGGCGAAAGTTTGCCGGTTATCAAGTGTTGGCCAAGTTAGCGTTTGCCGGAGCGAAAAACAAATTGTTGCTGGCCTGCAACCAATGGTGCTTAAGATAAAGCTGGGCAGCCCCAAACGACAACGATGGCAAATACTAATTTTACAAGGAAAGGCAAAGTAGCACGAGTTCGTTCGCACAAAACTTTCTCCCAAACAAAATGAAAATGGGGGAAAAAAATAAAGAAAAATAAAGGAATAAGGGAAAAAGCAACAAAAGCGAAAGCTAAAATTAGTCAAGCGCAAAATCAAGGCGCTGACTCTTCGGTCTGGCGTAATGTTGATATATTAACTTGTTACGGAAGGAGTTTTGAACTAAAGAATTAATTGCAGTCAACTGAAGGGAACAAAGGAAAATGTTAAAGTCTTCCTTTTTAAGAATTTAAGAAGTAAATATATTTAAGAGAACCTTTCCCTAAGGGGATTTACAAAAATGATTTCTCTTTTAAAATAATTTGGTTAGCTTAAGTGTTTAAGTAATCTCTTAAGGATCTTAAGTATTTAATCATTAAAACAAATATTACTAAAGATTAGAATATATGCTTTGGTAAATATCTAAACGAAAAATATTTTGATATATTTTATTATATATGATTATTATCCCAATTTTGTACACCCCTTAATCCCCCTAAGTAACCTACATTATAATCGCGTCATAAGAATGATTGCCTTACAAGGGTAATCCAAGCTGTGGACCCCAGATTTTAGCTTGCTTTTCAACGTTTTTTCCATATTTTTTACTACCTTTATCAACTTGAAGCAACTTTTTTGTTTTTTCCACTGTTGACGGGATAAAATAATAAATCACAGAAAATATATGCACCCGACGCTCTTTCGTTCGTTTTACTTTTTTTTTTTTCGCTAATGTTCTTTATGTACGAGTATGTGCGCCGGAAACACGTCAGCATGTTATGGCAGCGGAAGCTGATATACTTGGGTTCGGACATGAAGGAGGAGAGGGTAGAGGAGGCCCAGCCAGGTTGCATGTAATGAGGCACTGATTGGTGCCTGAGAAATTGCCACTTTCAGTTCGCTGCTGATTATTTTTGCGCCATTTTCCTACGCTTGCTCTTACACTTGGTAGCTCCTATATATATACATGAGAACTAAATCAAACAAGTTGACACTTGCCACGCCCTGCTTTCCTGGACTGGGCGCATGCATAACTTTTGCCACTTTATGTGGCGCTGGCGTCAAGAACTTAACCTGCATCCTGTTGCAGTTGGCAGGCAAAATGTCGCAGACCGACCAGACGACGCACACCCCTGCCTTTTAGCCCATTATGCATTGTGACACTATTTTTTTTTTCCTTCCCCATATATATTTTTTTCTATATTTTCAGTTCTTTACGTTGCTTGGGAATTTTCGCAGCTCTGTTTCTCAAGTGGCAAGCGGAGATGTCTTTCCCACGACTGCCGCCTGCACTTTGCATAACTTTGTAGCATACTTTCGAGCGTGTTTCGTCCCAGGATCATGTTCCACAGTTCCCAATGGAGACCGTTTTTTGTTCTACTCTCGCCTCTGCTCTGTTCTTGTGCCACATTATGTATTATAAATGCATAAACATTATGCCTGACGTTTACTTAATGCTTGCATAACTCGGGAGCTGGAAAAACTTTTCAATAATTACTGGGGAAAAACATCATAGAGGGAAAGCCACCTAAACAGGTGTGGTTTAAGTAGGCGGAAAAGTTTGCTTTTTGCATTTGAATGAAATGTAGCCATTATGTGCTTTAGTTGATTTAGTTGCACTTTTAAGAAAGTATTATTTTTAAAGCGCTAACTTCTCTTTTTAAAATTATAGAGAATCAAAAAAAACTCCTATAAATTCTAAATATAATGAGAAAAAATTCCATTTGCATGGCGCTAAGCAGGAAAAGATTCCATTGTTGGTATTTATTCCATTAAACAAGCTTTACAGAAACACTTGAAAGTATTATAATTTTCCATTCCAGGCAGCGAGATACTTCACCACCAACGTCCTCTTAAAATTATGAGCAGCAACAAGAAGTCAACATAGCCGACTTGGGTCTTATCCGCCGTCATCTCCCCATCTGCCTTTTATACTCGATATATATATATATATATATAGACGTACTATATCTCCCTGTTTAAGCCTGTGAAAGCTGCTGCAATTACCTTGTTAATACGCATAAAAATGCTGTAACAAGCGAAATAGAAGAAAAGACTTTGGAGCCTCCAGTTTGAACCCAGAAAAAAGCTGGGGAATCCCCTATGAAGCAGCTTTGCCGTCAGCGACAAAACACAATCAGATTAAAAAACAATGCGAAAAAGAAGCAAGTTTTCTTTTTCATTTGCCGTAACGCACAGCAGTTTTAATCCGCTTTTAATTGCCTGAAATCCAATTGGCGACCTACATAGCAACCTGGTTCAAAGTTACTCTTATCCTCTCCTCATCCTTTTGCTCTCTTCCAAGCCCGTACACCCACAATCCGTAACCCGTAAAATGGACAAGCAATTAGTAGAGTACAAAAAAAAACCGGATAAACTAGTTTGTTAAACTGGGAGGGAAGTGATGGGGAAGGTAACTGAATGGTTCAAATAAAAACTTTTATTTCAGCAGCAGTCCAGTGAAGGTGGCAAATTCCAAAAGTAGGCAACAAAAAAAGTCTCACACTTAACCGCTAATGATGAAATTGCTCTGGCCACAAAATGTTTTTATTAAATTTCCTAATTTACTTAATTAATTCACCGATTGGCAGTTAGCCAAGTTACATTTGTTATTCGAATTCAGACATGATTTCATTTCGCAGCAGTATATTTCCAAGTAAACACTTTTAAGTGTATTGGACAGAAACTGTCTCGGAAAAGATAAAAGAGAAGTGACAGAAATGGACAGCGAAACCGGCAATATTATTATTGCCAAAGTGTACAAATTTCTGTCGCAACAAAAAAGTCACAGTTTCCACCTCAATATTCTGGTTATTTTTCTTAGCAGTTTTCTTTTTATTTTCTTTGTCACTTGGCTTTTGTTGACTCTTCTGCCTTCCTGCACTTGACGTTATTCTCAGGGAGCATAAATCGTTTTGGCTGCTTTTCTTACCAGCTGGCCAATGCCCGTAATTGTCCTGACTTAACTTCTCCGGATTCAACATGGTTTTCCTGTCATATTCTGCTACTTCCCAGCGAGCTGCCAAAACCACTATATTCTAATTGTTATTGCGTTTTGACAGGTACCCAGGAAAGACCTTTCCCTTTTTATTCTGTCACGCGAAGAGGGCAATAAATAAGTCAGATGTGTCACATCAATTTCTTGAAACTTAAATTGAGGATACATTTATTTTCTTTTTAAAATTTTTGAATTTAAAGAAATTTTTTTAATACATTTTAGTATTATTTTCCGGTATTTTATGAGACCTAAAGATGTCTTAGTCATATACAAATTTTTCACTAATATTTAAATGTAAATTTTCCTCAAATTTCTTAGTTTCCGAACTTAATCACATGCCCTAAAGATGTAGTACTCACCAACTAGTACACCTTCCAGTCATAGCCTACAGTTAAAGTCATTTATTAAGTGCGATCTTGGGCGATGCCAACTAACCCGCACAAATTTATTATGGTCTAGTCTATGGGCGTCGTCCGGTGGCCGAATGAAGATAATAAATTCTCGCACTAAAACCTGAGCGACATTCAACAAAATAATTACCAGCATATTTCGAATGTCTCACGGGGAGCACCATGGCACAATTTATCATTTCGCTCCAGCTGTGGGTGTACAAACTAGTGGGCGGTATTTTAGGATGGCTGACGGAGAACAGGAGCTCATTTCATAACTCAAAAGCCTCGAGAGTCATTTATAAGGCTAGAAGGCGAAAAGTTTTTTTTTTTTTTTTTGCCAAGGCAAAAGGAGGATGGAAAACTTTGACTTGAACTTGTTATTTAACACTTTTGCAGGCGTACCGACACTGACAACTGGGCGTGGTCAGAGCTGTTAAAATATATATATATACAATCATAGAAATGCACATGAAGAGGGAGAAGGAGAAGGCGGGACCAGGATAGATGGTCCAACATGCACGGACACTTGAGACAGTACGGAGTACTCGACGGGATATTCCGTTTGAAGTGCGAATAGTTTAGGCAAGCATTCGTCTCTTTCCCAGTGTCGTCTGGCAGTGTGTGTGTGTGTGTGTGCGTGTCAGTGTTCTCAGTGTTAAGCATTGCAAACACGTATTTAGTAATTAATTACACTTGTGTCTGAGAGTTCAGACAGAGACAGGGGGTAAGACCACGACTTCTAGACTCTCGGTTTGACATGTGATTATGCGCTTTTAGCATCTGTTTGCAAATCGGTAATACTACTACGATGCACATGTCCTTTCATTTGTCATCTGTGCATTTTGAGATATCAAATGGAAATTGGTTTTATTTAAGCAATGATATATCTTATAACTAATAGTATCTATTATACTTTAATTGAATTTCTCTTAATGTTCTTCCACCTGTTAAGTTTCTTGAGATTTAAACCTGCTTAAGTTAAAGGAAAAGTAGCAATAAACTCGTTAGACCTAAAATAAATGTTTATATTATATAGCATTTTAAGCAATAATACTCTCGATAACTTGTATATATAAAATCCACCTCGATTCCAAGCTTTCAATTTTTTCTACCAAAATAGTTCAGGCTTAAACTACTCTTTTTTTCTCCAAAAGTATTCGAAAATGTTGCCCTACAAAGTAGGCAACATAAAGTCTGAGCGGAAACTTTGAAAGTTTGGAAAACTTTAAAGAATGCAGCACAGGTACTTCAACCTCTCCCTTCTCTACCTTATTACACTTCAGTTGCTCCCTTCTTTGGGCACACATAAATTGGCAAAGAAAAAAATATAAATTCCTCCTGCTTAGCGAATTTTTAGCTTAAAGCGTTTTCACATGATTTGGCGGGGAA